CGTGCGTGCGTGCGTGCGTGAGTGCGTGCGCGCGCGTGTGACTATGTGTTTGTGACTTTTCTGTGTCAGCTAGTCAGCCAAAGACAGAGACGGTTTTAGTCCTTGTTCACTCTCAAAAGGACGGTCCCGCCCATGCTCTGGCTCATGCCGTTTCTTTCCCTGGTCTTGTGGGGACTGTGGAGAGCTCATAAACCAGGACCAATCCCTGAGCCACGAGAGGTTTTGTCTACAACGTCGTGTTGTTTACAACACAAGGATGGGCCTCCACACCCCAGCCCTGTATCTGGGAATCAATAGACGCGGCAAAGTGCCCGTTCTTCGAGAATTGGCGAGTAAACACATTAATTAGCCATAAAAAGTGTTTGGGGTGGGATATTTTTTCCATTTACCTCATTTGTAGTTTAAGTAGGAGTTTTACGTACGGCACTCGCAACACAAAAAGGTCACATAAGTGTCGAAGATTTGAGGTGTTACAAGAGGGTAACAAACACAAAATAGAAGGAGTGGAGATAGAGATGATAGATTTTTTATAGCAAAGAAGGAGCAAACCACACCAGAGCACCCGCCATCACCCATATTTAACTCATTGAAGAAATGTTGTTTAGGAGTAATTTTTAAAAAAAGATGTAGCCACGTTATTCATGAACACTCTTCCATTTTGTTTTCTTTGTCTGAAACGAAGAACTCTTTGAACTTTCAGTATTTCTAAAAAAGAAAAAAAAAACATTTTTACACACTGCAATACAAAGCGTGCGGGTCGGATTAACGAGTAAATTTGCTCTTTGAAAGTGGTGGCACAGAGTTCCCCACGCTGTATGGATACGATAGTAAAACACGACGTACGATAGGGGTAAAGAGTAAATGTATTTTCGCACGTGTTGGAATCCTAGCTAGACAGAGTTGAGCTCACAGAAAAATCTCAATCTGCGACATTTTAGTACCGTGCTCTATTTGAGACCTCTCCTTTTGTTAGCCCGGATCCTTACTGAACAGATGGGCTGATTCCGGAGTCAGGGTAAACAAGGAGAACACTTGACATTCCTCAGGTGTTTTTTTGTGTGTGGTTTTAGTAAGATTTTACGGCGCTCGAAACTGCATAAGGTCATATGAGCGCCAAGAGGTGGATGTCAACAGAGAACTCCAAACGGGGAACCAGGCTTACTCTGCTCACCTCTCTAGCCTCAACAGCACAAAGTCTGCTTCGACTATCAAGGCACCCCGGAAATAGCAGTTCACAAGAGGGTGACAAACATACAAAAAATGTAGAGGAAAAATGACGATAGTAAGGATGAGGAAAGAAAAAGCAGCAGTTCCGGCACAGTTATAAGCATGACATTGATGAATCAACCCGTTTACAGTTCTACTGAGCATAAGAACACGTCTACGTCCCCCCTTTAGGAATGGTGTAAATACACTTCAGTCCCCGGGTGGAGGGGGGGGGGTGTAGAAATCCCTTCATTGTGGTTCGGGGGTGTCACCCTAACAGCGGGGGAGTTGCGCCTATGATGTAATAGTATAGTAAAGTATGGGGTTTTACGGCGCTCGCAAATGCATAAGGTCATACGAGGGCGCTATGGCGCAATGATCGCGAACTATGCGTATGCATGCCCAGCTTGCTCAGGCCAATAGCGGGTTTTTATTACCTTTCGATAACTAGAATGTTCATTATCAGTTAAGCAAATAAGAGAAATTGCCAGTAAAGATCTTATCTGAAGTACCGCGAGGCTTATGCAAAGTTTGGATATAATGAATAATCCCCTCTCGCCCTTTCCCTAAACTGCCCCCCCCCCCAAACACACACACACACATATATATATATATATTATATATATATATATATAATATATATATATATTTATATATATATATATATATATATATATATATATATATATATATATATATATATATATATATATATATAGAGAGAGAGAGAGAGAGAGAGGGGGGGGGGGTATTTCTAGGACTTTATGTCAGCTCAACACCGTTAGCTACTTAGCCATACAGAAACATTTTTTTTCTTTTAAGTACATGCACATTGTTTATTTAACGTCTGATTAGCTAGATAGCGAGAAAAAAAACCCAGTTATAAATAATGATCCAGTTTATGTGCACGCAATAACTCTACTCTAAGTAATCGGACAGACAATTTTCTCATGTATGTTTTCAGCATGACAACGTTCCTTAGTATAACACCGCTCCTGTTTAAGTAACCCTTTCGCGTGAAAAAACAAACCAAACAAACAAGCAAAATAAACAAACAAACAAGCAAGCAAGCAAAGTAAGTAGACAGGAATGAACCGGGCCGCGAACATACCGTCTGATTATCATCAATAATATTATGAATGTTGCTGAGGTTTGGTAAGTTTTTGTTTTGTTTTTGTAAGGTTTTACGGAGCTCGCAACTGCATAAGGTCATATGAGCACCAAGGGGTGGATATCAACAGAGAAGTCCTAACAGGGAAATAGGCTTACTCTGCTCACCTCTCTAGCTTCAACAGAACAAAGTCTGCTTCCACTATCAAGGCACCCTGGAAATAGCGGGTCACAATAGAGTGACAAACATACAAAAGAAGTAGAGGAAAATGACGATAGTAAGGATGAGGAAAGAAAAAGCAGCAGTTCCCCCTATGCTGTTCCGGTACAGTATGAGCATGACATTGATAAATCAGCCCATTTACAATTCTACTGTGCATAAGAACAGGTTAATGCCCCCCCCTCCCCTCTTGGGAATGGCCTGAAGACAACTTATGTCAATGGCACCGCCCTGGGGGGGAGGGGGGGTAGGTTTTTGTTATGACAATAAACAACTGAGTGATGCAGTGATCCAACTGAACTATCGCCCGTGCACAAAGTTCAAAATAAGTAAACCCAGGGCAGAGTGACACCGCTCACGAATGAGACCAATGACAGTAAACTAAGGCATATCTGGGATAATGTTATGAGATTTTGTTTTTTCTACATCAGAAGTGATTTGGGGTATTTTTTCAATGCGTTTTCTACTCCCCAAAAAGTAATCAATGTGCGGTGTATTTACATTTTCCCCAACTATAATAGTATGCCTTAATCACCCAGGGGTGCCTTTGTCCCCTCAGTTTACGGTACCGGACATTTTTGTCACATTTCACTAGTCTCGATAAACGCTTCTAAAACTGTTCAGCATTGTCTTTCGTCTATTTATGATTCGTTGGTATTTGAGACAATCAATTCTTCGGTGTTATTCTGTAACAGTTTTTGTAATCTGAACAATCGCACCGCGCACAAAGTTCAAAATGAGTAACCCCAGGGTACAGTGACACAGCTCACGAATGACGTCAATTACGGTAAAGTACTAAGGCATATTATATTGGAAAATGTTATGAGATTTTTCTTTTCGATGTCAAAAGTGATTTTGAGAATGTTTTCTATGCATTACCCAAAAGAGTAATCAATTTGTGGTGTATTTACATGTTCCCAACTATATTATGCCTTTGTCACCCCCAGCTTAAGGTACCGGACATTTTTGTCCCGTTTCAGTAGTCTCGCTAAACGCTTCTAAAACTGTACAACGATTTTACTTTTTTAAATATATGATTCTTTGGTATTTAAGACAATCATTTCATCTGTGTAATTTTGTATCAGTTTTTGTAAATCTGTGACTGTTTGTGTGGGTAGAAAGCCGTTTTTCATGACAGACAAAACCTGATTTAGATTTCACTCCGTTTCTCTCCCTTTTTAGGATTTCGATCTCAGTTCTATTTTCTGAAGTTTCATGATCTAGATACCTGTGTATACGGTTAACATTCTCTTTTCTGGATCGAAAGGGGGAAGGCAGGGGATGTTTTGAAGGGGAGAGAGAGCAGGGGGAGGGGAGAAGGGGAGAGAGAGAGAGAGAGAGAGAGAGAGAGAGAGAGAGAGAGAGAGAGAGACAGACAGACAGACAGACAGACAGACAGACAGACAGACA